TGGATTTGCTGTTAGGAACTAGATTATTTTCATAAGTCATTTGAGAATATAAGAGATTAGTTGCATTGTCCTCAGTCTACACTCTCACACAGCGTGAGCAGGGAGAAAACCATGACGACAGCCCCCTTCCACAAAACCTCATCAGTAGGATATTTGCTTTCCCTATCTCCTTTGCTAACTCTTCCCACTCCTTATTAAATAAGCTGCAGTGAGTTTTAACAGAATGGCATGACGACCCCATTGTTTCCTATGGTGAGACTACATTTTCTCAGTCTACAATTTTCCGAGTTTTCTGATGACCAATTTCTTTTTGTTTCCTCAACTGCTATGAACAGCTTTGCAGATTAAAATTTCACCTTTTTCCCCTAAGTTTATAAAAAAGGCATTTTGCATGATCCATTTGCCAAAATACAAACACATGGACAAGAGATGCACTAAGTGTTCTTGTGATAAAACACCCTGGTCTGTGCCAGTTGCAATAATCACTTAAGTGCGATCAATCTAGTACAAATGCACAGACCAGAAACACAGTTGAACTTCATTTCCATCCCTGAGAGTGAGAACTCTTGAACATTTAACAGAGACAGGAAAAATAATAGCACAAAGTTGATTTCACTATGATCCCGATGTTCACTTAAGAATCTAAATTTATTGGCTCTGAAGGAACTGACTTTCAAATACCTCCAAAACTCTTCAGCAGTATACTGGCTATGACATGCCAGTTAAAAAGAAGTTGTGTTATCACTAATGCATGAATTGTCATTATTGTCCCCCTAGGTATCATTGCATGTCTTATCCAATGTTGTTGTTTCTTTGGGGATGATCCAAAGTTTCCTACAATCATGCAGCTTTAGTTGCACTTTTTCAGATGCTTGTGCTTTCTTTTTTTACTTCAGAAGTCTGGATTTATACCCCAAAGGTGTGTACTCTGGAGCTTCCAACTAAATCCACGTACAATTATTATGCAAGATTAGCAGCACCTAGTTCTACATAAATAATGATTTTTTGTATATAAAATACCTCCTGTTGTGTTTGTCACTTTGAAACGTGTTGCTTATCAGCTAAAACCCCGAGGAATTTTGGAGCAGTAGTCCATGTTCAAAAAATGAAGGAAGAAACAGTCTTAAGTACTGATTTAAATGAAAAGATAATTGTCTGATGTTGATTGTTGACAACTGATATTAGAAAAAATTGGAACTCTGAACAGAACATATATGCCCACAAGAAGTAACTTATTTTCGCAGTGAAAATTTATGTCAAGTGAGCACTTAGTGCCCATATCAACCTACCAGGAATTGGATTTAAAGACCAATCAAAGACAGAACTTGGATTTAATACTGCTGAAACACAGAAAGTAAACCTAGGGTTTGAGATCCCATTAGTGGTATGCTGCGTACTGGATCATGGAATTACCATCTTTCATCAGACTGGGAATGCAAACTGGGAGGTATGAGGCATAAAATTTCAGATGCTTTACATAATTATTAATACAGGAGATTTCCCAACTACCAGGCCATGGTTATACTGATCACCTAAAACTTAGTGCAGTATTTTTAAGTGTTCAAGAAGAGTAAGAAATGGAGCAGATTAGATATCATTACCCAAGGCAAAAACTGTAAAGCTTTTAAACTGCCACTGCCCTAAATACAATGGCTGGGATTCACTGCACTTAACTAGCATTTAAATGTTATACATTTACTTGAAGTTATGTACCTACTGCCTTTCTCTAGTCAATGAACAGTGACTATTTTCTAAGTAAGCTGACTCACCCACCTATGTTAGAGACCCGTCCACAGATGGCTGAGTTGATGACTCTAACTGCTTTTGCTACTCTCTTTCAAAAACCAGATGCGAAGTATCAGGTTCAAATCCAAAGACTGGAATAATTTCCCCACTTTCTGACACTGAGTAGCTAAGGTATTACAGTAACAGAAATCAATTTCTCTGATAATGTTCTCATGCTCAAAGCACAGAAATACTGACCACTGTACATACACACACAAAAAGATAAATTTATGCTAAAAAATTAATATGAACATTCCAAAAAAAAGTTCCCCTATCATATATTTATCTGATAAAATGATATTCAGTACAATTCTAACAACCAAATGCCTAAGTGATATGCTTGGCTTTGACAGTCACTGGGACTCTTTGTATTTCCTGCTGATGCTCTAATACCAAACAAATGTCTCTCCCTGGAAGCTCGTCTAGAATCCAAACTCTGCCCCTTCCCAACTGCATGCTCTGATCTCTAAATTGCACACAATCTCTTGCCTCTTTCCCTAACACCACGCTCCACTGCTCCTGGCTGCGTGCCAGCTTCAAGATGGCAGGCAATGTAATTGCTCAGCATATTCCCCATCTCCTGGCTAGTACGCTTTCCTGGTAATCAGGAGATGGAGGTTTAATCTACTTGGAGATTAACAGAGCCACCGACTTTATAGGTGAGTGCACTAAGTATGACCCCCCACAAGAACACTTCTCTAGGGGAGAAACGCCCAGACTTCCTGGGTGAACCTTCCCAGGAAGCTACAAGTAAGTGGATGCTTGTGGCAGTAAAATATATTTTTTTTCTAGTTTATTAACTAATTTTCATTACCCCCCTCCTGCCACGGGATTACGTAATCTGTGTAGGTAATGTAAAATTTAAAATTTCTCTTCAATGTTTGCCATATTCCTTACTTATTTGACTTCTGTCATGCTTTCCCTATGTTCTTTTCTCATTTTCTTAAGTCACGCTCTTGAACAAAAACGAGGGACCCTGGTCAACGTGGTCATGGAGGCAGGGAAGAGGCCTCTCCTCTTCCTTGGTCCTCTGCCTCCTGCACAAGCCTCTCCCTTCCTTGACTTGTCCTTGCAGATGGCATTCATTCCCTTTTTCATATTCTCGGCTCCCTCAGCAAGGAAAAGGCAAAATATCCCAAGTGAGCAGGTATCTAGTCATAGCCCGTATCTTTTGGTTGACAGTTCATGGCCTCACGGAAGCCCACTAATCTTGCACTAAATTTGGTGCAAGGGCTGAATGAGCATAACCTCTTTCTCCAGTGGTACCTCAGGGCATTCTCCTTCTGTTGCTTCAATCTGTCAAGAACTGAGCAACACGTAGGCACAAGTTTCAAAAGAGTCACCACGGCAAGTCCCCAAACTGCCTGTTTGGACAAACTACGTATCATACAAATGAGAGAGGAAGGCTGAATCTTGAGTTAGGGTGTAACTCAAGTTATTTGCCTTTTTTTATAGGCAAGAATTGCTACAATATGCAGTATTTTAGCTATAAACATAGCTATAAATGTAGCCATATCTACATAATCATATGCACAGATATCTCAGTTTATCCAGCGGAATGGCAGACAGTACATAGGATATGTAAACAGATCTGCCAAACACTTACAAAACAACTTTAATAGCAAGTGTCATTCTTTTCTGTAAAGTAGCTGTTTTTAACACACATGATCTAACTCTTGTTTGCTCTTTAAAGTTTTATTGTCTTGGCATTTTATACAGGAAGAGAGCATTAGCATACTCAGGAGAACTGCTAAAAGTAAAAGGCCTCAAGCTACCCACTGCATGGTTGATAGCATAAAGCATGGGATATAAAAACTTTTGTCTGATTGCTCACTTTACTTGTTTTAGAGTAGTGTTACTCTCAAGAGCATATATTCATGTTCTTTCTACTTCAAGTTTTATTACTTCTTTTGTATTATTTAATACATCTAAAGACACTTCCAAAAGACAAATTTTTCCATTTTGAAAAAGTAATGGTTTGGAACCTGATAAAATACATGGATGTTCACAGTGTATTATTTTCAAAGGCAAGTAGAATAAATGTGCAATAAAACAATTAAATGCATGACAATAAACATTTCTATGTGATCTTAGATATATTAACATGCCAAACAAAAGAAGAAAAACTCGGCAAAATATTTCCCCTAAAAAAGGTCAGAGCAAAATGGATTCTCCACACACTAGCGCATAAGTAAAAGGGGAGTTTGGTCTCAATTACTGTTACTGCTAAATATCCCACTCTAGAAATTAAAATGAACATTAAAAACGTGAAAGAGAAAATGGAATGAAAAAAGGCAAATCAGAACAGCTACCTTGAACACAGAAAAAGAGACCATAATTGTACACACACATTAAAAATCATCCTACAGTAAACTTAAATCTAAGTCTGCTTAGATATCATACTGCTAATTATTATATAAATAACCTGGGAAACAATACCTCGAAGATACATGTTTTACTATTTAGTAAACAAGAAACTGCCACGTTTGACACCACTGATTAAGGCCAGGCATTTCTAGAGCTTCAGACACATTTCTGAAATCCACAATACATCAATTTTTAATACTTCCACTCTCTCAGCTCCATTAAAAAGATGGTAGGGGAAAGATTTTAGAGTAATTAATGATATAGTTAGCTGCTAAATATTAATAGGAATCGTAGTCTTGCATAAAATATAACATATAAACCTTGCCAATACAGACGCACCAGTAATTAAACTTGAATATGTAATTACACTGATTTATACGACAGGCAAAAAGTTACACTTTACTGGCTTCTATGTAAACTGTGGGCAACAGTTAAACTTTGCATTTTACGGTTTATATAAATGGGCAATATCTCTACTACAGTTCATAAATGGTTTAGAGACTCATAGGTAAAATTACAACTAATTCCAGCATGAACATTCTGACTATACCTTACAAACCAGGCTGTGAAAATGACCACAGAGATCAGCCTCCCATTACATTCAATGCTTGCAAGCAAGTTGAAGAGGTTTATATTTAAAAAAAACAACAAAAAACCAACCCCAAAAACGTACACCAATCTTACTACAAACTAAATGAAGACTCATCTATTGAAATGTTTTAATATAAATGTTTAGTTTCAAACATATAGTTCCAGATGTTCCACTTACCATGTTTCAAAGCCCTTTTGAGTAATATTGTGTCTTAGGCTAAGGCATTTTTTCCTGAGAGGATGCTAACTGCACTTACATGTGAGGCTGAGGAGAGCAGCCCGGACTGCTATTTCCATTACTGTCAATGTGATCCAGCGAACCATTGAGATCTTCATGGACTGCCTGCAGTAAGCCACTGGATGCGTTATTTATCAATCCTGGGTTACTAAGCAATGGTAAACTACTCTCTGCCAGTGCAGCCTAGCAAAATGAAGAGTAAAAATAAAATTATTAGTCCGTACTTATACAGATCACTTCTAAATGTTTATGCACATATGAACGTACACATACAAGGCAGCTCATTTTGGGTAGTTGTAGAGGTGGTCAGAAGGATTTTGTGCATTTTCCCATTATTTTCACATTCTGAATATAACAGCATCTGTATTCCAGGTTTACTATTTCCCTTACACAGGTTTCATTATTTTCCATTATTAAATATGTTCCGATATTCATAGCACTTTCTAGTTTTACATCATTTTTTGACTCTGAATTACACTTAACCCCTATGCCCTTCCACACAATGTATGGCTCCTTTAGAATGCAGACAGCTGCTATACTTTAAAAAATGACCAGAACTTAACTCAAAATAAAAAAGTCCTGACATTTGCCTCTTCTGCATAAAAATTATATATTATAATTAAACTTTAAAGTTTTTGCCATGAGCACCATGTTCCCCAACACTATGATGTGAAATCATTTATGACAGCTTGGATAAATATTAATGCATATCCACATGCATTTGCAAAAGCTTCTATCAATCTAACATTTGCAGCAAAACTGAGTGTTCCAGATTTTGCCACAGGGTGTCCTTCTTGCTTCTTCACATCAAAAGTAGCATGAATAAGAACTAGTACTTCTTGCAGTGCTAGGTAATACAACTTACTTGGATGATAAACCCAAGTATTTAGAATGATCATCAGGTCTACATCAACATAAATATAGGTAATCCTAGACCAAAGTATAGCAGGAAATTAAATATGCCACACATAAGAATATAACTAGTGTGTGAAAAGAAAGAATAATTTAGTATTTTTTACCTGCAAGCTTGCATTAAGAGCTGCTCCATAGCCTAAGCTGGTGGGTATGTTTTTCACTAACGTTGGGCTTCTGAAAATAAATGATTTTTCACAGTTTAAAAAACAGGCAGACATCCTGGCTGGCTCATTGGGTTAACGGACTGGTTTTTCAGCTCAGAAGACCAGAGTTGTAAAAGGAAAAATGAAATGAAGTTGGGGGTGAAGGGGCTCAACCCGTTAGAACACAGTGATTTACTCTCATCAGAAAAGCAAAAATCTTGCTGTAATTAGGCCCACATGGAAATTTGCTCCGAGAGCAGGGCCGTAGTGACTCATAAAGGTTCTGATCTCACTGAAAGAATTTGACAGAGATAGCTTTAAACTTTGTACAACACCTGCCTCGGCTACGCTTGCTGTGTCATTCAGTTTTGGTTTTCTGAACTAACACTGGTACGCATCTGAATACATTACAGACAACTACGCTAAGGTGCTGAATAAAACGATCTTACTCTTCCCTTCCAAGAAACTGTGAGGGTACAACAATGTATACGTTAACTGTAAATGAACAATACAGTGGATCAGTTAGTTGCCAGCAAATCAAACGTACTGTATTTAAATCAGACTAGAAATACTATATGCTAGATCGCCACAGAATTGTATTTTCATTAAAATTAGTGCCTAGGTTGACTCCAGAGGTCAGCTGGGTGGCTGTTTACAAACAGATCTGTTACAGAAACAGAATACCTTCCTGCAAAGAAAAACCTCCAGCTTTCCTCTCTGCACCTTTGGTATTCTGAATGATTTTATCAAAACTAATTATATACTCTAAAGGAATAAAAAGCATCCACAGAACCAGTCATACCGACACGGGATTAATTTGAAAGTAGGGCAGTAAGCATGCCAAAGGTCCTCCTGTGAAGGCTTCTCATGAATACTACCCTCATCAAGAAGATATTTTTTGAGGTCAGTACTGTAGTGTATGATACCTATATTCCAAAATGACCTTGAACGACTCCCTACTTCTGTCAAAGGTTTACAGTAAAAACAAGCGCATACGAAACCCTAACACATGGGCAACATATGTACACAGGGCTATTTTTAATATATAGTAGAAGAACTTATGGTAGATGGAATTAAAATGACAAACATATGGTGAAACACACTGAAAAAACAAAACCATTATCGCTTTCCTCTGCAGCAAACTATATGGGAAAGGCAGGCAGGCAAGGAATGTACAGAAAATAGCGTTTACCACAAAAATGAAATAAATGTTAGCTCACTGATGAGAATGCACCAGCATAGCTATTAGCTTGCTACGTATTCTCCACATAAGTGCTCGCTTTGTCTGTCAGGTTGTAGTACACAGAGGACTCACTTAGGTTACAGAATTACAGAACAACTCAGTTGAACAAAACCAACCACCAACGTACCCTGTTATCTTTTGTGACCTTCGCTTCTGGTACTCTACTTCATCCACTGTCCATACTGCTCCTTTAACATTTTCTACTCGAACAAAACACT